GAACCACCATCATGCAGAACCATCATACAGAACCACCATCATAAAGAACCACCATCATACAGAACCACCATCATACAGAACCACCATCATACAGAACCACCATCATGCAGAACCATCATACAGAACCACCATCATATAGAACCACCATCATACAAAACCACCATCATACAGAACCATCATACAGAACCACCATCATACAGAACCATCATACAGAACCGCAATCGTACAGAACCACCATACAGAACCATCATTCAGATCTACCAGAGAGAACCACCATACAGAACAACCATACAGAACCATCATACAGAACCATCATCACATTAGAACATGCAGGAGAGCATGATGGGAAGGACCTGGCCTGTGTGCTCGGTTTCATCCTTGTTGATGAGATACATGAAGAAAAATCTACAGAGACACAAACAAGCAATTATTAGAGTTATTACGGCAACACTTTACAATAAGGTTCATTAGTTAACATATTCACTAACATAAACTAACGATGAGTGGTTACACTTTGTCACCGTGTCCTAACTACACAGGACGCCGCGGCACGCGATAAAAGGTATCTTTTCCACGTTAATCAGAGTTTTTGTCCTAACCAGACGCGACGGCGACACACGAAGTTTCTAATTTAGAAACGGTTCCTATTTCTGCTGACAGAATGAAGAAATTACACTGGTTATGAGTACACACTATTTAGTTTTAGTTAAAAATAGGTCACTGTGCCACAAGATAACGGATAATTTACCTCAGATTTTGAAAGCATGTAATATAGCGTTCAAAATGAATTCTATGCAAACATACAACTGTACTTCATAACAAAATTAGTCAATGAGTATGTTTTGTTAATGTTTTGATTTTTAATAATGTTATTTCTTGATTTGATTATGTCCTTACCCATTTCCAATGCGAGTGCGGGCCAGCAGAGAGACTCCGCCCACACGCTGTTCTGATGTGTGGCGTCACGTTGAGTGTGGACAGACACACTCGCTGTCGCTGGAAGTTTATTGCGTTGTGTGTAGTTAGAACACGGTGTAATTCCATATTTAGTACTGAGAAATATTAACATGTGAAGAGTTCAGATGCAAAAGTCTCTAAGTGCCATTTGAAATTTTCTTCTTTAATGATGATTTTTATCAAACTTGTATATTGTAAGTTCAGTAATTTCACTTAAATGGCAATGATAATTACCTATTAATTGTTATTTAAGTGAAATTACTGAACTTAAATATACAAGTTTGATAAAAATCATCATTAAAGAAGAAAATTTCAAATGGCACTTAGAGGCTTTTGCATCTGAACTCTTCATGTACTTACTGTAGGGTTAGGGTTTGGTTGCATGTAATTATGCATACCATAGCTGTCAACATTGAACACTGAAAATAAGGGAGTTTTCCCGGATTCCATCCCCAAAATAAGGGATTTTTTTTTTTACACGATTCTTACCCACAAACTTTAAAAATAAAGCACTAATCTTTAAAAGTCTAAAGAGTTAATAACTAGCCTAGAAACTAGTGTCATTTAAAGAAAAAAAAAATCTACATTTGGATTAGCGGTGTGTTGCTCTTGCCTTTATGACAACAATTTCAACTGTTATCACATCTTCCAAAACCCACAAAATAGGGAAGTGGGCTGTCTGTTTATGTCAATTACATTTGCACATTTTGTGTAGTTTTAAAGAGCCTATATTTAGCCTGGTGGTGGACCGTCACTCAGAAGACACTCTGTTGTTATTGTAGCCTATCCCATCTTTATATCCTCCTGAGGCCCAGAATGTTTTTTTTCCAAAAGTTTTTTCTTCTTCTTCGTGTAATCATTGTTAAGAGCATAAGAAACAAATGAAAAAAAAAAAAGAAAAGATATTTTATTCATATGTTATATGACATTAAATTATATATAGGCAAAACTAATGGCAATATAAATCGATTATTATAATTATTATTTGTTTAAATTACATTGATATCTGAATTTATGTAAAAACCTTGACTTTCAAACAACAAAATGTAAAATGTAGGCTATTCGAGTACAAAATGACATATAAACATCGTTTCCTATTTTTTATTTATTTATTTGCCTGTAAACGCTTTCAACACGCTTGCGTGTCGCGTGAAAAAATAGCCGTCAGTTCTATTTCTAGCACGCACGCGTTTTCTGGAGACGCGCGTGTCACGCGGGCAGTGTGCAAGCTCTAATCTGTAACATGGGAGCCGAAATAAAAAACGGACACGCCATTGTGTCTCCGGCCAGCGCGCCCCGCCCCATCCGAGGATAAACGACTTCAAGACGAATCAGTCCGAGCTCGTACGTCTCACACAATCAGAGTAAAAATACGGGATATTTTACGGGAAAATACTAAAATGGGAATACAGCGGGAAAAGAGCAAAAATACGTGAGAAACCCGGAAAAAACAGGAGGGTTGACAGCTATGATGCATACTGTAATTCACTGTTATTACCACAGTACAAACATATGCTACATGTAACAAGCACACTGTAAAATAAAGTGTTACTGTAATTAATAAACTTATTAATAATCTTTGTTAATCTTAGTTAATATAAATAGCGCTGTTCATTGTTTGTTCGTGTTAGCTCACAGTGCATTAGCTAATGTTAACAAATACAGCCTTTGATTTTAATAATATTAGTAAGTGAGTTTTGGGTGAACTATCCCTTTAAATCATGTGAAATCTGTCTCTGGCACTGATCGCACATCTCGTGTGTGTGTGTGTGTGTGTGACTCTCCACAGGTGAAGCGCTTCAGGACAGAGTCATTGTTTGCTGAAGATGCAGAATGTGAGAATAAAGCCGAGAGGATCCAGCAGGACTCACAGGTAGTTGGCCAGATTGTGTTCCTGCAGAGTGTGTGTCTCGAAGCCGTGAGGAACCGTGTCGAAGTAATCGTTTCCAATCCCACAGATGAAGCACTTGGTCTGCAGGAGGAAAGACACGCGTGTGTTTAATCACACACACACACTGAACGAGGAGGAGCTTCAGAGTCAGAGGAAACGCTTCTCACCTCCATGTCCTCCTTCACCTGCTCCTGCTGGTCCCTCAGCTCGCCGAACGCATCGATGATCAGGCCTGGAACACACACACACACACACACACACACAAGACCATGTTATACTGAAACACACACACACACACACACACACACAAGACCATGTTATACTGAAACACACACACACACAAGACCATGTTATACTGAAACACACACACACACACACACACAAGACCATGTTATACAGAAACACACACACACACACACACACACAAGACCATGTTATACAGAAACACACACACATACATGAGACAATGTTATACTGAAACACACACTCGTCATCGGTTCACACACACACACCCTGAATGATGGCCAGGAGGATGACGATGACGAAGAAGAAGAAGGTGATGTCGAAGATGATGCGATAGATCTCGTACTCGTCTCCGGCCGGGTCTTCGATCTGATCCCCGATTCCTCCGCCGGCACGAACGCCCACATACATGTGGAACATGTAGCACTGCACACGCACACACACACACACACACACACACACACACACACACACGGGAAACAGAAAGTTATCATTCCGACATTTATTTCTACAGCGCTTTATACAATATAGATCGTTTAAACTTCACAGCGATAAACAGGAATACAGCATGAGGACACATCAGTGTGTGACTCTACCGCGCTTAACTGGGGTCACACACACTCGTCCAGACTGTTTCAAAGCAGTCACACACACACACACACACAGAAATCTGGGGTTTTGTGCAGCTTTAAGTGTTTGGTCATCAGACTAAAGCCACCCATCACCTCTTCACTCAAGCTGTCTTCCCTTATTAGGCGGAGAGAGAGATAGAGAGAGAGAGAGAGAGAGAGAGAGAGAGAGAGAGAGAGATACAGAGAGAGAGAGAGAGAGAGAGAGAGAGAGAGAGAGAGAGAGAGAGAGAGAGAGATACAGAGAGAGAGAGATAGAGAGAGGAAGACAAGAAGAGGAAGAAAACAGAGTAATGGAATTGAACGGGTGGCTGCTTTCCAGCGGATTAAAGCTCACACACACACATGCATGCTTTAAAACACACACACACACACACACACACACACACACACTCCTGTGAATCTGAAGAAAGAGACATCAGCCCGTCTCTCTCTCTCTCTCTCTCTGTGTGTGTGTGTGTGTGTTTGTGTAGTTAGTTAATTAGCCTGTTGTTCTAGCTGACTGCTAATGAGCTACGGTTCTAATGACCGTCCGGTCGTTTGCGCTTAGCAACAGCACTAATGTCACACACGCCTGATGGCAGCAGCGATGTTCTCATCTCAGGAACACATTAAAACACACACAAGCAACTAAAAGAGCAGCGTGCAGGAACACACATCGCTGCCACGCAGACACTAAATATCAGAGCCGAGGTCACGACCCCAGAGTCAAGCTCGTCTGACCTCATCAGGAGTCTACAAATGCAGCTCTTCATGTACAAAACATGGCGTTTGAATGGTTTGTTCAGGGGTGTTAGCATTAGCTCACCGTTAGCATGTCGTCACACTTCATGTCTGGCGATTCTCCATCTTCACTCTTATTGTAGAACTTACGGAAGAAGTTGAAAGCCACTACAGTGTAGAGATACACCACAACCGCCAGCAGACCGACAGTCAGGACCAGCTACACACACACACACACACACACACACACACACCATGTTAATTCAGCAGCACTGAGTTTGTGTCTGTTCTGAATCAATAACCAACATCAGAGCATCAAACACTGTGAGGCCCTCAGGTGCTATAAGCCAGAAAAGAACATTTTTAATTAGTATTTTTATTTTGCAATGTTTTATTTATAATTGATAATATATTAACAATTTTATTACAGCTGTAAGTGTCTCGAATGCATAACCAGAGGTTATTACATCACATCACATTATTAAAATGGTCTACTAGAATATATAAACTCTTACTTCAAAACATCTTTACAGACAGACAGACAGACAGACAGACAGACAGACAGACAGACAGACAGACAGATAGATAGATAGATAGATAGATAGATAGATAGATAGATAGATAGATAGATAGATAGATAGACAGACATATAGATAGATAGATAGATAGATAGATAGATAGATAGATAGATAGATAGATAGATAGATAGATAGATAGATAGATAGATAGATAGATAGATAGATAGATAGATAGATAGATAGATAGATAGATAAATGATAGATAGATAGATAGATAGATACATAGATAGATAGATAGATAGATAGACAGACATATAGATAGATAGATAGATAGATAGATAGATAGATAGATAGATAGATAGATAGATAGATAAATGATAGATAGATAGATAGATAGATAGATAGATAGATAGATAGATAGATAGATAGATAAATGATAGATAGATAGATAGATACATAGATAGATAGATAGATAGATAGATAGATAGATAGATAGATAGATAGATAGATAGATAGATAGATAGATAGATAGATAGATAGATAGATAGATAGATAGATAACCTGTTTGCCGTTGTGTGTGACGGAGGAGAGGATGGTCCTGAGGGTCTTGAAGCCCATGGCGATGTCCAGCAGATGAGCAGCGAAGAAGAAGTTATTATAGTGACCGAGGATAGACATGCTCATGTACCAGGCCAGATACAGGAACGACTGCAGGACACACACACACACACACACAACCAGATCAAACCTGACCAAACCTGACCAAACCAGCACAGCCACAGACACACTGGAGGAGTACTGACGTTATCTGTGAAGACCACACCCAACTTCCAGATCTGATACTTCACATCGATGGAGTTCAGCCTGGAGATCAGAGACGAACAGCACAGTTCAGCTCATCAGTCTTGACCAATCACTGTGATATTAATGTCATATGAGGGAGTCGGTGAAACAATCAATGCAGCACTGCACACAGACTCATGGGTAACGGTTAGTTGTGAGGGTGTAATCAGCCAACTATGGTCACAAGTTTTCATCGTTATCAGCAGTTCGACGAGTCGTGTTTCCCGAAGCCATCGTTGCAAGCAGCATCGCAGAGGAGTGTGTGTGAGCGCCTGCGGTTGAAGAAGAGTCTCTAGTGTTCATGACGTGACTCAATAAATCCTGATCTTGAGCCAAATCAGCAAGCTGACATTCAGTGCAATCTGTGTCCTTTATTTAGAACTCATTAATGTCATTTACGTCTTTTAGTTTGTGGAGAGATTTAAAGTGGAGTTTCTGAAGAGTGCGCATGTGTGAACGAGAACGAGTCTATGAGTCAATCTGGAGATAAAGCAAAATAACTGAGAAAAATAAGAAATATTCAAAACATAAAGCATTAATGCGATCTCAAACAGATATTACTCCAACACGTGTGTGACATCATCAACCAACGTGGTTGAACGACACGTTTGCGACAGTATGGTTTCGGGAAACAATCGTGACTCGCTTGTGGATTTCTTCAATGATGCGTGTGCGTGTGAAGAGCGACAGTGATGTTGCATGGGAAACACACTCCAGAAGGGTCAAACACACACTCACACTGCAGCCAGTGAACTGTCTCTCTTTGGTTTCTTTTTCCCGTGAGCGTCACTGAAGTCCAGCGCGGCTTTATCCATCCCGAGCAGTTCACTGATCCGATCATGTCCATAAAACTCTCCATACTTATCCATCACCTACACACACACACACACACATTATACATTAAGAGTCGTTTATCTTTCATGATGATGAACGAGTGTGTCAGTGTATCTGTGCAAACATCACCACACTCACTTTCCGCTTTACAAATTTATCCCAGTAATTGTTTGGGAAGGACCTGAGAGACAGAGATGAAATCATCATTAGATTCATAAACCACAAAGATCCTCATGCAGTGACGATCGACATTTACAATCATATATACGTGTTCTTCATCTGATCACATTAATATGACAAACAACTGAATGTTTCATTTGTCAGCTAAACCTTTTATTCCATTTTATAAACTTTTATATTTTTATATTTCAAATAACTAACTAACTGACTGACTGACTGACTAATTAACTAAAACACCAACTAACTAACTGACTGACTGACTACCTAATGTATAGGGTACATTGTGTGAAGTTCCAAGCATGATAACCTAGATAATAAAATGGTGGTGTCCATTCAACTAACAAACAAACAAACCTAACTAAATTACTATCTAACTAACCAAATATCTAACTATCTATCTGACTGAAAACTGACTACCTAACTAACAAACTAACTAACATGTCAAGGCATGTTTGGCTGTTCTGTAAAGTGATGCGATGACATTTCTCTCGTCATAATGACCGCCCTTCATGATTAGCATTTTTTTTTTAATACTTTATTATAGTTTCAACACATATATACAAAAAATATAGTTAACAAAACAAACAAACACAAACCAAAAAAAAAAGGGTTGAGGACACGTTGAGGACACGAGGCGGGTCTGTCACTCACTGTGTGTTGATGACCAGCCGGTCCCACTGGCCTTTAATATCGTCTTCTGAAGGCTGTTCAGTGATGTAGAGGCCGTCAAACTCCAGCTTTCTGGCCACCTCCTTCTCCCGCTTGAAGATCACCAGAGGAACCTTCAGGAGGAACACAATATGAGCCGTATCAATCATCACAGCTCCGGCTTCTATTAAAGCATTTCACAAATAATAATTGGAGCGTTTATTAAAACCCTATTAGACCGACACTGCAGGGCATTTCATCGGTTATATCAGTAAAGCTGGCAGGTGTATTGTTTCAGTAACTGGATTTCATTAGAACTAATGAAACCTAAAATGTGCTTTGGGAGAATGATATCAGCGTTTAAAATACTTCTTTATGCCAGTGTTGTTTGTGCTGGTCATGTCATCTGCCAAACTCTTCAATATTCTGCTACAAACACAGGGATTTAGGAAGGGATGAACATGGCCAATACAGATAAACCATAATTCTTTATATTTGATAGCCAGTATATCGAAATCCAAATTTTTAGATACATTTTGAGAGCCTGATTACATCATCATTAAAAGTCAAAATTGTCCAAACACACACTTATAATAATTTTATGCAGTCGATATGACCTGCAAATGTTGCACTGAACTGTATTAAAGTGATTTCAATCATATTTCAAGCAATTCAAACAGTGCGGATCTGAAGTGACTCAGATGAAGGAAATAATACATTATTCAACAGCTTTAATATATCGGCCAAATCTTCTTATCGGGCCGATAACCATAACATTATAAATGGTGATATGGTGGCAGATGTATCCTGCATCTCTATTTTAGGTGCATCATTGGCTGCTGTGAGCATGAAACTATCAATTTAGAAACAATTAACACATCAATTTCAGCATTTAGGCTTGATGATGATTTAGTTTACATTCATGGAGTAAATAATTCTGTTTTCTGAAGCGGTGGAGAAGCACTGATCCGCTGTCTCGTACCTTTAAAGGTGCAGTGTGTAATATTTAGGAGGATCTGTTGACAGAAATGCAATATCATATAGACACACATTTCGTCACTTCGTTGTTCTTCGTGTAAAGAAGCTGCTAAAGTCAGCGAATAAAACACTGACACAGTGATGAACAAGTAACTATAATATTCACAATAACATATCGTTTTAATGGATAATCAAGTAAACCTAATTTCTTAATTTATCTTTGTAAAGAAACCTCATTGTTTAACTGGCTACTCTTCGCTGTCTCAGATGACAGTGCGATTCACAACCTCACCACTAGATGCCGCCAAACCCCCCCCCCACTGCACCTTTAAGCAGTAGTAGCCGATGATGCAGAAGAAGGAGATGACGGTGTGCAGGACGGCTAGGATGCGCAGGGTGGGCTCCATGTACCCGCTGCTCTCCTCCAGCACGAAGTGCACAGCGACGGGCCGAGAGCCGGAGCCGTCCAGGGGGTTCCACCGCACGCTGGTGTCCGAGGACCCGCCGAACAACACCTCCTTCCCCTCGCTCAGGGCCGACGACGTGGACACCTTCAGCAGGGAACAAACTAAAGCTCAGGGCCCTGGCAGAAACACCTGAAGCTTTTCTCGTGATCCCCCTCAGATTTAATCCCTTAAACGGTTCTCTTTGGTGAGGGAAACTGTTCAGAGTTTTGCCGCCATGGACACGTTATTTGTTAAACACAAGTTTTACAGACAACAGCATTACCAAACATGGAAGGACCGGATGAGACAGAAACGTCGGTCATGTCGGTCTAAATCCATAAGACTTTCATTCATATTTAGATACACATAAAGATATTTGTAAAATTCACTCATCATTTCTGTCCATTTATTGAAAGAATCCATAAGATTAATCCATATGATTTAGGCTGTTTCGGAAGAGGTTTGTTCTTGCGCGTGTTGCACGCTTCCGATAACCATATAAGATGTGCTTCATGTGTTTATATGTGAAAAAAACAGAAAAATTCAAATTAGTTTATCATATAAAGTGTCCGATCACGTCTCGTTAGAAGACTTTGATCAAACCTGCTCCCTCCGTATAACACTTAAAATGAAGTTTTGGAAACCTTATATGCAACACTTATCGTTCACTTAAAGGGAAGTTCTTAGCATGGATGACGTTTCCCCTAAAGAAACCCTCAAGTAACACTTACGAGTTATTTTTTGCAACACTCTTCAGTTTAAGGGAATCCTAAGAGTGTTCTTACAGGGAACATTACACTTACGGTGCTGTATGCCACCGGCCACTGATACACAAACATTACACACGCTGGAAATAATTAGTGAAGATGAATGTCGAAAGTAGTGTGAATTACCTTGTAAAACAGCAGAATGAAGTTGATTGCAAAGGCCACAAACAAAGCCAACATTCTCATGTTGTAGAAATTTCGTGCAAAATAGTTCTGCAGGAGAAGAGACAGAGACACTGTGTAAAGCACACGCTCAACTGACTTCCTCTGGTGTGGCATCATGGGACAGAAACGGAGACAGCAGGGCTCTGACCAGCAGCTTGCGTTGGTAAGCGATGATCTTCTTCCAGAAGGCGGACTCCTGCAGATCCGGCTCGTCTGCTCTGGAGTAGTGCAGTCTCACCTTACGCTTCACCGCCTCGTCCTTCTTCTTCTGGGCTTTCTCACCGTTTTCCCTTCTTACACAGAGGACCAATCAGAACTCAGATGGCAAATATTATGATGACGACACAAACACTGTCGGCCTCAACAAACACATTTCTAGGTCAGCAACACTTACTCGGCTTTCTCAGGCACTGATTTGGTCTCCTCCACAACTTCATTGTTGTCAGTTGAGGATGAAGAGCCCTTTGTCTGGCAGAACCAACAGCGAACGAGTTAATAACCCAACAGATTCATGGCATTACTGATACGGATCTGTGACAAACCGTGATTGTGATTTCACCGAGCACAACATGTTCCTGGATCAACATCTCTCTGGAACAACATTTCAATCAACCAATCAGATGGTTGGGTTGGGTTATGGTCAGGTTTGGGTTACGGTTATGGTTTGGTTGGGTTATGGTAATGGTTTGGTTGGGTTACGGTTATGGTTTGGTTATGGTTAGGGTTGGGTTAGGGTTGGTTTACGGTCAGGGTTGGGTTGGGTTATGGTTATGGTCAGGTTTGTGTTATGGTTATGGTTTGGGTTAGGGTTGGGTTGTGGTTAGGGTTAGTTTACGGTCAGGGTTGGGTTATGGTTAGGGTTGGGTTATGGTTGGGTTAGTGTTGCTTTATGGTTAGCGTTGGGTTATGGTTTGGTTGGGTTATGGTTAGGGTTGGGTTATGGTTGGGTTAGTGTTGGTTTATGGTCAGGTTTGGGTTATGGTTTGGTTATGGTTGGGTTAGTGTTGGTTTATGGTCAGGGTTGGGTTATGGTTATGGTTTGGTTGGGTTATGGTTAGGGTTGGGTTATGGTTAGGGTTGGTTTACGGTCAGGGTTGGGTTATGTTTGGGTTAGTGTTGGTTTATGGTCAGGGTTTGGGTTATGGTTTGGTTATGGGTTGGTTATGGTTGGGTTAGTGTTGGTTTATGGTCAGGGTTGGGTTATGGTTTGGTTGGGTTATGGTTAGGGTTGGGTTATGGTTAGGGTTGGTTTACGGTCAGGGTTGGGTTATGTTTGGGTTGGTGTTGGTTTATGGTCAGGGTTGGGTTATGGTTATGGTTTGGTTGGGTTATGGTTAGGGTTGGTTTAGGGTTGATTTACAGTCAGGGTTGGGTTATGGTTGGGTTAGTGTTGGTTTATGGTCAGGTTTGGGTTATGGTTATGGTTGGGTTATGGTTAGGATTGGTTTACGGTCAGGGTTGGGTTATGGTTATGATTGGGTTAGTGTTGGTTTATGGTCAGGGTTGGGTTATGGTTTGGTTGGGTTATGGTTAGGGTTGGGTTAGTGTTGGGTTAGGACTAGGCCAGGGCCAGGAAACTTGACATCCGCATCACCGGTCACATGAATGCTGTTTAATGTGAATATTATGAAGCACAAAGCTTTGTTTACAAAATAAATAATAGGTAAGCAATTAAATATTACCTTCCAGCCATGGGAACATTTGGATTCGTGACGAACAAGAGGTGAGCACATCAATTTAAGCTTTGTCGGCTTTGCATTACGCTTTGCGATCTGGTCACTCGATTATTTTAAATGTAATAATATTTCCTTGGACGTGGAATCTCGTGTTTCGTTTTCCAAATCTTCTGTCACGTCTCACACATTTTGGCAGGTCAATAAAATCTGTTGATCCAGGAACACGTCTTACTTGGGAAAACTGAACACCATAAAAACGGTTGCCTGGATCAGTTTAATCTGTTGATGTCTTATTTATGCATTACCTGGAGTCGTCTGCGGAGCTCAGGCGAGGGTGTGTGTGGCTGTGGGACGGGCGTGTTGAGCAGATCCGTGATGCTGGCGTTTGGATTGTGGGGCATGAGTTTATACTGGCCTCCCTCTCTCTTCAGATCGAGCCCGAATATATCGGAGAGGACGTCGGTGTCGGCTGTGGCCGCGGTCAGATCGGACAGGTCTTCCTCGGGTGAGGATTTCTCGACGTGCTTCTTCTCGGCCTCCTCCATCTCGCCCCTCACGTCGTCTTGAGTCGGGTCGGGCATGTTGGCCAGGAGCTCCGACACCTTCATGGTCTTGGCGTTCTCCACCAGACTCCCTCCGAGGAAACTGTTATACGTGATCCTGAAGAATCCTCGAGCGACGCTGAAGGCGAAGTGCAGCAGACCCAGCAGAACCCTCCAATAGAAGGACACTAGCGTGGTCACCATGTCCTTCACCGTCATCTTCTTGGCTTTCTTCACCTGCTTCTTCAGGCTCTTCATGGACAGCACCTTCATCAGGAGCATCACGTTGTACCGCAGAGCGAAGAGAGCCGTGCGCACGGTGGTGACGGAGAAGAAGCCCATCTCGGGACTCTCCTCCTCGGGTTTCTCTCTCTCGCTGTCCTCTTTGCTGGCCAAGCGCTCGGCGGCGTCGGACATCTGCGCCGCTAACTGCATCTCGAAGATCGTGTCTTCGCAGAAATTCACGAAGAGCTCCATTTTCTCCTTCTCACCACCTTCGTTCACCACGTCGAAGATGAACTGGCGTTTGGACTCCTTGACCTGAGGCTTCTCCCACTGGGTGCGACTGGACTCGCTAATCTCGAAGTACACGCGTTCGATGCGCTTAGCGCTGCCCATGATCTCGATTCGGCCCAGGTACGGCTGGAAATAGTTCAGCACGCTCTCGGCCAGCTCTAGGAAGGTCTGGAGGCGGGAATCGTGAGGCATGTGCTCGGAGAGATTGGTTAAGAGAACGGCGACGTTGAAGCCGATGTCCTTCGCCGGCTCGTGGAAGCGTTCCACGAACTCTTCATAGTCCAAGAGCTCGTTCTCATCCGTTTCCGCACAGGAGAGCAGGAACTCGGTCTCGGATTGGGTGTAATGTTTATGGCTCTCCATGGCCTTGTGGAAATCCCTCTTGGAGATGACGCCTTTGCCATCGGGGTCGTACTCTTTGAAGGCATCCGACGACGTCAGATCTTTCAGTTTGAGGAACATGTCAAAGAACTTCAGAATCATCTCCACGTTATTCGAGGACTCCACCAACATGTCCACCATCTGCTTTCCAATGGTGCCATTCACAACATTTCCTAAAATGAAGGGAAGATGATTAGGATAAATTATCTCAGTGGGGTGTGTTTCCCGTACAACGGCGTAGCTCGCTGCTCAACCATCGTAGTACGATATAACGAACACGTCACACTATTTCGGACCAGGCCTGGGTGAGTTAGTTAGTAGTGTGTTAAACTGGCGGTTAAGGAAAGGGGCGGGCTTGAAGCGCTCGACCAATCACAACACACTGCTCCAGCCGACCAATCAGAGCACAGAGTGCTGTTCAGAAGGAGGGGCTTCATAGAGACAGGAAGTGAACTGGGTTTGTGTTTCCAGTATAACGCCGTAACTCGCTGCTTCACTACCATAGTACGATGGATCGTTGAAAAAAATCCACTAGCAAGTCACAATTTCTCGAAACCATGTTGGTTAATGATGTCACACACGTGTTGGAGTAATAACTGCTGTTATTAATCTGTTTGAGATCGCATTAATGCTAGATGTTTTGCTTGAAGTTATGAACATGCATCTGAAGAATATTTCTTATTTTTTCCAGTTATTTTGCTTTATCTCCAGATTGACTCATAGACTCGTTCTCGTTCACACATGCGCACTCTTCAGAAACTCCACTTTAAATCTCTCCACAAACTAAAAGACGTAAATGACATTAATGAGTTCTAAATAAAGGACACAGATTGCACTGAATGTCAGCTTGCTGATTTGGCTCAAGATCAGGATTTATTGAGTCACGACATGAACACTAGAGACACACACTCCTCTCCGATGCTGCTTGCAACGATGGCTTCGGGAAACACGACTCGTCGAACTGCTGATAACGATGAAAACTTGTGACCATAGTTGGCTGACTATGCATTTGGGAAACACACCCCTGGTATTGAACATTCCTAACTAATCATTCAATCAAACATTGTGCACTGACCCTCCAACATGGACAAGAGCATCACCACCATATCCTTCTGAAGATCCATGAGCTCCTTCAACAGCTCAATCTGGCTTGAATCCTGCAGCGTAAATCACATCACAGTGAGTAAACTAGTGTTCTGTGAGTCAAGAAGGGTTATTGAGCATCAGCGTAGATGTTCACCTGAGACAGCTTCATCTGCATATGTGCAAACACGTGCAGGAAACCAACAACCGCGTCCCACAGGCGACTGTGAGCGAGACTCTGCTGATTCCCTGTGCAGGGGCCCTAAGAACACACACTGTTATTATTACCCGACCGCAATCGAGGAAAGCAAGAGGTCGAACGTACCTGAATGTACTCTGTGAGAGTGTTGAAGACTTGTTTGGCTACATTGATTGCTTTGGAGAAATTCCGTTGGCCCTGTTCATCGATGACGTCTTTCCCAGAATAGAACCAGTAGAAATCACTGATGGACTCCTGAGGACGCAGAGCACACGCGCGTCAGCTGTGTGTTAGCATAGCGCACGCGCGTCAGGTGTGTGTTAGCATAGCGCACGCGCGTCAGGTGTGTGTTAGCATGGCGCACGCGCGTCAGGTGTGTGTTAGCATGGCGCACGCGCGTCAGCTGTGTGACGTGTTCTCGAAGGAAGCGCTCACCTGGACTCGGAGCAGGTAATCCACCGTAGATATGATGATGTTGACCGTTGTGTTGTTACCCGTCTGCGTCCGCAGGTAGTTCTGAAAATCTGATGTATGGACACACAATCATTGTCATTAACTGTTATCTAAAAGGCAAAGCAACATCATACTGTGCATGAAGGACTTAAGATCACTGTAAACGTGCCTACTAGCAGATATATAACACACACCTTTCATGATCTAAGCAATTCCTGAGGGAATGATGTTTGACAAACATCATATTATGAAAGTAAAATGTTCACTATTGTTTACAGCAGAGGTTTTCAAACTGAGGGCTAGGGGTCTGTTTAAAAACAGTGAAAAACTGTAACTTTTGATTAAAATTAAACATTTATTAAAATAAATTAATAAATTGATGATAGAAAAATAAATACAATTTGTTTTAAATAAAATTAAATAACAAAATAAAACTTTAACAATTTAAAAAAAAAAAATTTAAATAATGTATATCAAATTCATATTATTTATATCAGATAATTAATATACATCAGATTCAAATAAATTGATCAAATTTGATTTAAGTAAATAATATAGCGCAACAGAAACTAAATAAATAAAACTAGATTGACATAAATTTGATTCAAATAAATACAAAATAAAAGAAAATAACCAAAGTGTTATGGAAATAAACAAATACATTTGATTAAAATAAATAAATGTGACTTAAATAGAAATTATTTAAATAAATTATTTCGTAAACAAAAATGTATTAAAATAAATATAATTGATTAAAATAAATAACAATCGATGTAAATAATAAACAAAACATTAAATTAAAATGCAAATAAAACAGTATAACTTAATTTTAAATAAATAATATTAAAATAAATAAATAAATAAGTAATACATTTTACATAAAATAAACCAAAAAATCGAAATAGATCAAATAAAATAAATTATTAAATTATGCAGGCGTAACATAATAAAAACGTAAAATTATTGTTTATATTATTAACTTTTTACTGTATTATAATTTGGTCTTTATAAATGAAAACATATCGTTGCCTTTTAAACTGGAGGATGCATGAGGATGATCATATGTGAAGCACACACACACACACGCACACACACCTGAGTTGTGTCCCTCACATAGCAGCTGGAGGAAGCGGAACAGGTCACAGGTGAACTCGTCGTCTTGCATGACCTTCTCACCTGTGCGCAGCAGAATCACACACACACACGTTAGAGCCGAGCACACTGACCGCGTATGAGCTCGGGTCCTCAGACGTCTGGGGTCAGAGGTCACAGGTCAGATCCCTAGTGCCGCATCAGAGGATTTACAGCAGAATCTGAACCGGCCTCATGTTTGCATCAGAGGACTAAAGATGACATGTGATAACAGTACATCATGTGTATACTGTATTCTGCTGGCATCCCTCAGAGCCCTATAGATCTGCCGGCGCGTGTGTGACCCCTGAGACGTCTGCAGACCGAGAGCATGAGGAACATGACTGCCACAGTATTACAGGAAGAGACTCTCTCACCAGGGTCACACTATATACAATAACCTCCAGAAACACACAAATGTGCTTCTCACAAGCCAACCTGAAAGTGCTCGAGCTTTCCTTCAGATGAGAACCTGAGGGACTCAAGACTAGTGAGCTCCCTACATAGACAGCATGATCAGATGAAGGGAAGATGGCATTATTGTGTGTTTTTTTTAGCATTGCAACTTGAAAAATATTGTAAAATAATACAAATTTTGCTCTAAAATAAAAATGCATGTGTCGTTCACAGATAACGCAACCTCAGAAATGTTGGTTATTAATATAATTCGAATTCATTAATCACTGAAATATGGTAAAGTCTTGCTGTCTATGCAGAACGCTCAGTTTGAGCACGTGAGATGAAACGATGAAGCGGTTCACGTGTTCAGACAAGCGCACTTTCAGCTGAGCGTCAGTGTGAGGAGCGACCAGGAGATTCCTCTGAATGCAGCATGCAGATACACAACCACAGCACTGCTACTGCACACATCATGATCACAGGGGTCTGAGGCGTGGGGAGACGTCCTCTGGTCCATCACTCCCACCAGCGGTAAAACTGAAATGCAGATGGATGATACGAGAGAACACACGACACTGATCTCCAGAAAACATAAAAACAGTCACTCTGAACACATCCCAAACACAGCCTGACCAGAAACACAAGAGGACAGGGGAGGAAACAGCAGGAACGACAGCACACACACACACACACACCGACCGAACATCTCAGAGCTTCAGTGAGGACGAGGAAGATCATCATCATCATCCTCTCAGACCACAGACACACACTCTTAACCAAACACCCAGCCGCTGGCCACTGAGAGCAGGAGGGGGAGGAGCTCGCAGACTACAGCTCCGCCCACAGAGACGCACGGCTGCTTCTGATAGGCCGAGACGATCTGTGGGTGTTTCTGCAACTACTGACACTGGCTTAATTGTTTATCCCAGACTTTAGTAGAAAATATCATAAAAAGATTACTCTAAAACAAAATTATTCATCTTAAACAATAAAAAATAGTCCCTTAAAAATAATAAAAGTCTGCAAAAATAATGAAAGGTATTTAAATAAAATTACTCTAAAACAATAAAAATGCTCTAAAATAATAAAATATCCCTCTCAATATAATAAAGATATTCCTCTACAATCACAATCTAAGCAGATTAGATCGAAGATTTAAAAAAGTCAATAGTGTCAAAGCATTTCTTCATTTTATTTTAGCTATGAAGTGCTAGCTACTAGCTAAGTTAGCCACCATAGAATGAATGGTGACTTTGAGGTGTGATGATACGACATTTGTTCACGAGGACGTCTGTCTTGTGTAGAATAATGAAATAACTGAACTAACTCAAATGTGCTCAGAAACACTCTTAAATATGAGCTAGCTTTACAACATGTCAACACTACCGCTTTCCGTTATTGCTGAACATCTCTCGGTCAAAGCGAGTGTCGGTGTCTCTGACGAAACCAGCACGTGATTGGCTAGCGCTCGGGCGGGGGCGGGGCTTGTGACGCGGGGCAGAGGGAAGGTGTTGGCTCAGGGTCACACACAGCGAAACCACAGCGAAACGGCAGAAGGCATAATTACCACGCTCATGAGTGATGACTGAGAGAGGGGAAGACGAAGGTACGTTAACCCAAAGAAAAGAAGAAGAAGAAGAAAAGGAAAGAAAAAAGTGAGAGGTCATACAGGTCACAAGGTCAGTCGTTGTAGACTTTGGATTCAATCAGCACAGTTCGGACCAATCACACTAGCATGAGTCTACCCAGGCGTGACGACCGGTTTCAGAATCAGAACGCACCGTTACACGAGGGCCAATGAGAGACAGAGACAGAAGCCGAGCGGCCGACGGCGCCTGGTTTAATAATAACCAGCAGTGTTCACCTCAACTGACTGATTGAATCCAATCCTGAGTGAATAAAGAACTGCTTAGATGACAAACAAAGGCAAAATTCAGAGAAATAAAGAGAGAGAAACACTTGTGCAGGTCAAAGGAATAGTGCAGACCAACATGAACCGTCTGGAGTCAAACCCGCGGGAGCTTCTCTCATCAGTGGAGGATGAAGCAACCCGATTCGCAATATTCATGAACATGATCCTGTCGAGCTCGAAACACACACACACACACACACGATAGTGACTCCAGTGTTCCCCGTATTTTAATCCGGTCACTCTCTCATATATATTTATAACCGTTCAAACGTTTGGGGTCATACATTTAGTTTTTGTTTAAAGAAATCAATCCTTTTATTCTTCAAGGACGCATTTAATTAATCAAAAGTGGCAGTAAAGACATTTATAATGTTCTTTCTATTCTTAAAAAAAATCTTGGGAAAAAAATAGATGACAGTTTCCACAAAAATATAACTGTGTGTTGATCATCAGATCCTCATATTAGAGTGATTTGTGAAGGGTCATGTGACGCTGAAGACTGGAGTAATGATGATAAACTCAGCTTTGATCACAGGAATAAATTACACTTTACTGTATATTCACATAGAAAACAGATGATTTACATTATTATAATATTTCACTGTTTTCACTGTATTTTTGATCAAATGAAAGCAGACTGTGAGCAGAAGAGACTCTTAGAAACATTGATACACACACACACACACACACACACAGTATGTAAAGATCTGCCAGAAGATCCACTGAAGAAAGAAACTCTTGCTGGTTTGAGCGACGTGACGGGGAGTAAATGACATTTCCGGGTGAACTATCCCTTTAAAAGTCATGTGACAACACAGCAAACATAAAGAACTCAAGGAATATAAAACTCATGCGTTGAGACTCAAATGAAATGAGGTTTGAAAATAATTTTCAGTTCACTTAAAATGGTCACATGATATAGGAGACGTGAGCACATGTTGGGGGGTAGCTCTCGTTTCTCAAGTTCTTACAAACGTCTGAGGACCACATCAAACACTCCTCGTCATCATACACTCGTACACAAACACAAAGAAAAGGATCAACTCCGTTTGACAGAGACATCTTCAACACAAAAGTAGCATTACTGTCTTTTAGAATCAATAACTCAACTAAACACACACAAAAATGGTGGAATGAACGTGACGATTTCATGCGTGAAGAAATTACCCATTATATCACATGACAGAATGACACAGATCAAGCTCTAATCACAGTTACTGATCATAAATCAGGTGTGTGTGTGTGTGTTCATACCTGATCCTTCCTCCGTCACCATGCCGAGCCCTTCCGCTTTATTCTGCCTCTCAAACGCGTTCAGATCCAGAACACTGGAGCACAAACATCCGCTTCATGACTCATGAACTTTGCAACATGGACATTGTTATTGAACTGATCTGGATACAGCGGAGAATTTAAACACGTCTCTTATCTGAGGAAGTGTGTGTCGTTGGCTCTGGAGTATGACTATGATCAGTGGTTATTCAATTGATATATTTCTGTCGTACCTGCATGACTGCATGAGTCCCGCCAGACTCTGGAAGAACCCAACGTCTCGCTTGTCTTTCAGGTAGTCCAGCATTTTCTGCACAACACAAAGCAGACCGCACACGTCAGACCAGAGCTCACGTCCAGCTTATACCAAGTTGCATAAATATGAATGGATTTTTCCACTTTTTTATTGTATCTATGGTATATAATGCAAACTAAATAAACCATGGTAGCAGATACACTGCAAAATATGATTTTCACCCTCAGTATTTCCTCCTTGTCTTCCAGCACAAATAATAAACATTCTTGCAGTCGATCATTTCACCCCGTAAACTCATCTTTGATCACCAAAATTACATTTAAAGGTTTTTCCTTGAAAGAAATGTCTTCATGCCTTAAAATATCTTGACTGTAACTCGAAACCCTTTATTAATATGCAAATGAGCCCCGCCTCCACTCACTCATCCACTGGTTGACCATCACACGTTGATCTGAGTGGTTACAGGGTCGCCTGTGACGAGAAAATACTCGACGTATGAACTTTCACATGGTGTGTGTTAAAGCGTATTAAAAACACCACATAAACCACATTAACCCTTGTGCATCCTTATGGACATTTTTGTCCTTTTCAGTTTTGTTTTTTTGATCACTTTGCCTGTGTTAAAGCTAACTGCAAAAAACTTGGCACAGGTGTGTATTTTTATTGGAATTTTACTATTTCACCGTCATTTTCTTAAAAAAATATTTTTTGCATTAGGTACAAAAAAATACTCCCTCTCAGCGCCTTTCGGACAAAAATGTCCCCATTGAAACCCATTAAAACTGCCATTTTGAATCCCCGGATCAGTTAACTATAAAATTATGCACTCTTTGTTAAGAGGCTTTCATTCTGATGGCAAGGCTTCAAAATTTTATTTTTTTTAAATTTTTTATCAGATGTTGCCATTTTTTTTAAGTTTGGCCAATAAAACAAATATCGCTTTATTCCTGTTTTCTGCTTCGGCATACTATAGAGCCAACTGGATAAATTATGCAACAATATTTGTGTGGGTGTTGGTATGGATGTCAGAGTGTGGTTAGTATGTGTTATTAAAAAAAATATGTGTGTGTGCGCATGTGTGTGTTTGTAATACTGAGAGAGAAAAACTGCAAATTCAAATCCAATCACTGTGAGCTCCAGTGGGGTTTTGCTGCCACCCAATGGGGAAATGATGTTACTACGCCCAAACAAACTGTTACCGAAACCTCATTTTTTGAGATATCATCCTCAAATTTGGAACACAACCTATTTAGATTTATGCCTTTGATTTTATTGCAGTTTTGAGTTCAACCTGATTAAAAAATATATATATTTTATATAAAATATTTTTATAAATAGTTTTCATAAACTTATACCTATATAACTTTTTTTTGGATTTACTTATTATTATTTTTTTACTTCAGCAATAATCTGCAAAGGGTCTTCTTTAAAATGATACCAAACTTAAGTCTGTGCTCCAAAGCGTCACATTTTTATGACAGTTTTTTGACATGGACATTTTTGTCCTCTTTTTACCTGTGTGTAACTTTTTTAAATTGATGCACAAGGGTTAAACGCTGGATTTACACCACAGGGGGACTTTAAATCAAGATGCATTTACTGGAGAAGCTAAATCTTGTTTTCGATCAAAATGAATTTGAGCTTAAAACAGGAACACATATCTGCCAATGGGGTCAGAGAAATAATCTTGTTGTGATTTGTGGTTTAAACTCTAGTTAGGTCACGTGTTGCATTGCCTCCTGAGGCCAGCGTGTTGTTTCTGTGGGAGCGGAGCCGAGCGTCTATCTGATCATCAGCTTGTTATGGTTTTGTGCGTTTAATATGTTTTGTTTTTATCTGTACTGTGTGTTTTGGTGTTTTAAGTGATTGTGAAGCGCTATACAAATAAATAAATGAAATGAAATATTTCACATTGAGCGCGTGACGGTTTTTCCCCGGATGTCGAGAGTTGAGAAACATTAAAGTTTTGAGCTCATCTGCTGTCCAATCACGGTGGAGGAGAGGCGGGGCAAATCCCACACCGGCAATCGCCTGAAAATGCTTTAAAACTCTTGACCTGCTGAACGGTGGAGTTTCCCCCGTTGAGTACGGCGATTCCCAGCTTGAGCGTGGAGGCCACCATCGGCCCCATCTCTCCTGCACACAAACACACTCCAATCAGCTCGGATCACAGCACACACACACACCAGCTGAGGACGTCGTGTGTGTTTCTGACCTTTGCTGGCGCTGATGGTCTGCAGAACCATCTCTGCGGCGCCGCGGTCGTGGAGTCTGGCCTGCTGGTACAGCAGCTTCTGCTTCTCCATCTCCTTCTCCTGCAGAGTCCAAACACACACTCAGTAGATCAACTCCAATGAGAGAATGTTTACCAATACAATGGTGAGGCTCAAGGCCTTCAGACACGCACCTCAAAACTCTTGACCTCCTCCTCATCCTCTTCCTCTTCATCATGGCAGCTCTGTGAGTGATCAAACACACATTAGTCTGAGCAGGAGCAGTTATGGGGCGTGTTCCTCACAGCAGATCTCACCTTGGCCATGATGTCAGCGTAGGCCATGTAGAGATGGTCCTCCTCTAGTTTACTGCAACAGAGCGACGGCGTTGGTGAGCAAACACAGCGGTTCGGACTGTACATTAATATGAGGAAGGAAACCCACCATTTCTCGGTCAGCGCGGTTCTGCTGAAGAGCTGGATGAGCTGGTGCAACGGGTCGATGTGTCTGATCATCTCATCCTCCTCTGACGGCTCCTCTCCGCCTGGTTTCTGAAACACCAAACCGTCTCAGACACAACACACACACAACCAGCCCATCTACTGCACTCACGGTTCGGCACGCATGTGATTCGCGGATTAGCCGCTAAATTTAACCATCATAGAGTGAAAGTTTATAATTTGAACGTGTTTTGTCTTGCCAATTTACACATTCCAACAATTTTAAACGTGGAAGAAGAGGCGAACATCGAGAGTCACACCGAACTGATTCTTGCCCTTGAGCGCACACACACACACACACACACTTCTGTCTAAACACCGTCTCGGCAAGTGTTCTGTCAGTGAACAGTTGAGAGAGAGACCGGATCTGTGTCAGTTTATTGGGTCTTAAAGTGACAGTAGCCTAATATTCCTGCTGTCGTCTGTGTCATTAATGTTCATAAAACAAACAACCAAAGACAGCTTGAACTAAAGATTAAACTATATATACTGTTATTTTACATTTAGGCCTAATTATTAATTCCTGTTCCTGAATACCACTGTTAGACTTATTTAGTTTTCATCTCTGCTCGTCATTTGTGTATTTGTTCTTATTTTATTATTGACTGTTCACTTCTTTTTAATAATGTGTGAACGTTAACAGTTAGGCTAGTAGTTTTTGCTGTAGTATTAAAGAACTTCAAGTCAGATTTAAGTAATAAATGAAAAGCAAAGGTGGTAATAATCCCCCCCCCCTCCATAATATTTATTTATTTATTTTTGCTGATCTGAAAATGTATCCGATCCGTGACTCAAAAACTAAATAATGTAAACCGTGAGTTTTGTGATCCGTTGCACCGCTAGCACATTTCACATGTGTGGAGACAGGAAACCAGTTAGAGGAATGAGGAACTGGTCTTTCATGCATATTTAACACTGATGAATTCAAGGATTCATACTTTCGGTTCAAGTCATTCCGGCTCCTCATTGGACCAAAACAAAAGTGTGTGAAACGCCACATGAGCCAGGAAGGAAAACACGGAAAGCTCCTTCTGTGAGTGTCGAAAGCCGTGGGAAAACATGGACGGATGGTGTGTGAGATTGCTACATACGGCCAAGTCCTCGATCAGCTTATCCTCGAAGTAGTGTTCCTCCGTCTCGATCCAGGACTTCTCGTAGCCCTGGAGGAACAGGTTTACGGCTCGGTGCCTGAGGGTCAGAGAGGCGGCGTGATTCAGGAGTCGGAGGGAGCGAGCAGAGACGCAGGACAGGAGATGCTCACCTGGGCAGGTTATAAAGAGGAGCCATCCGGAAACAGCCACGACGGCTCTCTTCCTCTGCTTGGACAGAAGCTTGTGCCACACGGCCTTCTTACTGCGCTGAGGGTGTTCCACCTGCTCACACACACACGTCACCGTCATCATACACACTACACACATCATGATCTGTGCCTCGAGTTCCCAAATTAGATGGGAAAACATAAACTTTGGGTCATCCTTGATATTTCTCTCATTTACAGAAAGTCTCTATCTTTTATCACTTTTAAGATATAGCTTTTTGAAATTAAGATGATAAAATCAAACGTTTTAGAAGGTTTGGAAAAGCGCCTAACGGGTTAAATGAACACTGACAAAAAACGACACAAGTTTTAGTGCCTGATATAACACCGATACGAGTGATCACATGGAGTTAGACCTGTATTGCATTTATATAAAGCGTTCACAGGATTATTTCCCGGTGTTGAAATCAGGCTCATATAAATGTCAGAAACACGATTCCTGCATGTCGATATCTCTGGATTCTGTGGAGATGTAAGGAGCACTATATCGAATCCAAGCTTTAGTTTAAACTGATAATCGTTCGTTCTCCTGTTAAATCCCGCCGCTCATCAGCTGTTCCCGCGGGAGCGTGGCGTCACTCTATTTCAATCCTCTATTCATTATTCAGAAACTGCCACTGTGATCAGCCAATCATTAGAGAGCTCATTTGCATTTCGATGGATTTAAAGGCGCAGAGGTTTGACCTGGTCGAGGTGGAAGAGCACGTGTGCGATGTTCAGCACTCGATCCACAGTCTTCTCGGGGTCGGACGAGTCCTCACTGCGGTTCGGCATGTCCTTATACAGCGCCATCTGCCAACGGATCGCAGGATCCTCCAGCTGCAGAAACACACACACACACACACACACCTCTGATGAAGAAGAGATGCAGAAACAGACGGAGAACCGATGGAGAGACGGAGCGCCGGCTCACCTTTCCCTGCAGGTGGAGATTGTTTCGTATGATCTCTCGGACCTCGTCCTCCGTGTCTTTCTGCAAAACATGTTGAACTTCATGACTGACGGCTCTTGCACTTCACTAACTAAAGCAGGAGTGTGTGTGTGTGTGTTAGCGGTACCTGTGTGAAGCGGCTCTTGGCGAGGGCGATGAGCTCCTGGTCTCCCGGCGCACAGATGTTCAGTCCCACCGGAAGCAAGCGCTTGAGAGCCGCCACGATCAGAGACGTCTGCAGGGAATATCGATCTCCTCGCTTCTTCATCTTCTTCCTCTCCTGGTCCGTCACGCCGCCCTGCACACACTCATGCTTTTACCATTTACATCACTGTGCTCATATCCCACGATTACCTTCAGAATATCAGAATATTCTTACCACCAAGATATATTAATATGCCAATCATTCAATACTATGTGTGTGTGTGAGTGAGTGTGAGTGTGTGAGTTCATACCTTGGACATTTTGGATTTGGTATCAGTTATGAGGAAGGACATGTTGTTGATTTCATTCTGAACCACAAAGTTTTGCTCTTCTCGTTTAAAGTTCTGTAGAGGAACAAACACACAAACCCTTGTTAGTCAGATACCCAGAGTTCCCTGCTTTCCAATCCAAAGGATTCAAAGATTCAACTTCACTTGAGTACAGATGATCTGCATTAAGTGTCACGGGCCGACCGATGGGCCCAAATCCATTACATTTTTAAAACAGTATTATCCTATACTAAATCTAAACTAATCTTGACAAACTATATATCATTTGAAAGCTTAGAATTTCTAGTTTCATATTTGGTGATTGATTTTCAAAATATATTACAGAGGAGCCGTAATTTATCAATTTGCAACAAGAATATTTTCATACTCTTTCATACTCATACTCTAACCTTTATTTTGAAATTGTGATGAACATGAAAAATAATGAAAGAAGGGTAGAAACCTGTTTGTTTTCATGCCAAGAGTTCAAAAGAAAGCCTCCATTCAATTATTTTATAATTATAATAATTATTATTTCATATGGAAATGGAGTCTGGTTGTGCCCTAGTGAAAAAGTTTGGTACTGCGCCCAAACAAAATCTCACTGAAAGCTCATTTTTTGAGATATCAACCTAAAATTTGAAACACAACTTATTCCGATTTTTGGCTTTGATTTTTTAGCAGTTTTAGAGTTGCCAGGTTTTGAAAATATATATTTTCTATAAAATATGAATAATTAAATGTTTTATATTCTACATTTTCATAAACTCAAACTTCTATAACTTTTCTTCTGTTTCACATTCTTAATTTATTTCACTTCTACAAAAATCTGCCAAATGTCTTCTTTAAAACGAGACCATTTTTACGTCTATATTCCAGAGCGTTCTTGAATTACAACCATTTAAGTTCGAAATGTGCATTTTCATCTATATTCAAAAAAGGGGGGGTGACACTTAAGGGGTTAATGTTAATGTTACTTGTGTCACACTCGATATGTGAAATGTCAATCATTAAATATAAAATATTGTGAATAAAGACACTCTATAATCAGATCATCTTACAGACAGAAGTTTGTTTAAATGTGTTTGACAATTCTTGCTAAATATAATACTGAAGTGTTTATTGTAAATGATTTACAGGTGCACATCATCATTATTGTGTTCATAATGTTGAATCAGAATCCTCTTCTCTGATGATGTGGACGGGGCTTTAACCTGTCACTCACGTGAGATCAGCCAATAGAATCAATTCACAGACACAGTCAAGCCCCGCCCACACGTGTTCGCGCTTCACTCGATATACGACACAATAGAGGAGAAGGGGAGCATAACTTCCCTTCCATGGAGAGTTTAATTTGATTCTGTGAGCGTGAGCAGAAGTGACATCACTGATCGCTGTAAACCAGCCGCTTCACTGTAGATCTTGATGAGATAGTTGTTGCTTACGTGTGATTTCGCCCAGAATATAAAGACTTCGGCCACCATGCGGAATAACTCCTCGGCCTCAGTGTTCGGCTCCTTCAGCCACTTGGCTCTGTGAAACACACACACACACGTGTCACTGACGGACTCCCCGACTCGCCTGTGTGTGGCGCACCTGTGTGCGGCGCACCTGTTGTAGTCGACGAAGCGTATGAGCAGCGGGTAGAAGGCGTACAGGTCCCGCACGAGGACCGTGAACTCGTCCAGGATGAGCAGCTCGGACTCGGACATCTCTCCGCGCGCCTCGGCCTTCATCTGCTCCTCGTCCTGCAGGACCGTCAGCGCCTTCAAGCGCAGCTTCTGCATCAGCGGCAGGAAGTGTGTCTTCAGGAGGTGAGAACGGGCCTTCCCGATGATGGGCTGGGAGAACACTGACACACACACACACACACGTCACAGTTGGCCGAATGCTACGGCGTGTGTGTAACGGCCGCTGCTTCACTCACACACACACCTGCGAGTCTCTTCATCCAGGCTCCCTCCTCGATGCCCAGGTTGTTGTAGATGATCTTCAGGATGTTGCCCAGGAGTGTGTTCATGTGCTCCGAGGTGAGGGACGTGCAGCGGCTCTCGGGGCGCTCCGGCTCGCTCTCCGGCCCGTGTTCCCACCAGTGTGACATGTAACTGCACAGCATGGGCAGCAGCACCTCCATCACGTGAGGCATGTGTGTGTAGCGCAGACCCGACTCGGCCAGCTCCATGATCTCCTGCAGCGCTCGCTCCAGACACGGCACCAGCACACACACCTCCTCCACCTGCGCCGGGAGGCCCAGCGCTGACAACACACACACACACAACATCTGAGTCAACACTACACACACCTCGGCTGCAGAACGCCAATCTCAGGTTTCATAAAGACCTCAAAATAACACAATCAATCTGACAAAACATGCAGAGAAATGTGTGTGAGGCTACTGAGAGTTTGATAAGAACATAAATGAA